TGAGCTGAAACGATAGGACGAACTTCCGCAAGGCGACGGTAATAGCCCAATCAAATATGCAGGGAGAAACATCATGCACCACATCTGTAGTACCATTACAATTCCTCGATTCCAAATTTATAACAAGTACTTCTTGTCGCATAAGATTGAATAGGAATGAAATGAAGGCATAAGCCTCAAAGGAATCAAATCGCACGATGAGGAATCAAGAAGGGAAGTGCTCCTAACAGTCTTGTAGCCTCTCGAAGATAAGTACAGACGTGTCCGTACCGATACGCAAGACTCTACTAGACTCGCTCATGACTCGTGAGACCTAAGTGAACCTAGGGCTCTGATACCAAGCTGTCACGACCCAAAATCCATAAAGTTCGTGATGGCGCCGGACACCACTATCAGGCAAGCCAGCAATAATTACTTAATTGGGTTCTTATTTTATTATTTTTGAAATCATAGTTTTCTTCAATTTAAATAGTAAAGAATAGGGGTTTACACAGTAAATAATACTATTCTTAACAAATTCAATATATAACAACACATAATCATCCCAAAACCCGGTGTCACAAGTGCATGAGTATTAACTAGGAATATAAAATAAAATACAGCAGTTGTCCGGAATAAAAATAGGACAGGAAAAATGTAAATACTCTAAAGGAGACTCTGCCGGCTGCGGGTCATAATATGGAATGCAGCTCACGTAAGTCCCTGCATGCATACACGCCTCTGCTCTCACAAGACCACTAGTCACATATGTACCTGCACAAAAATGTGCAGCAAGTATAGTATGAATACGTAATCAACGTGTACCTAGTAAGTATCTAGCCTAACCCCGGTGGAGTAGTGGCGAGGGGTCGACATCGACACTTATTAGTGGTCCAATAATATCATGTACAGTAAAGAGGTAAGTAAATATGAGGCACAGTAAGTAAGTGAAATAGACAAATATAGATCATGTGGTACAAATCCCCTCTCTTTACAAGGAACTCAAGCTCTTCATTAGAAATTTCCTCCTTAACCGGAGCATATATATAGGTATAGTGAATCTCATCATGTAGCTTACCATAATTCAAATCCGGGAATTTCACCGATACATAGGCTTCTTGCCAAGTCTTACGCATGATTTCATAGAGATATGATATAGGAAATGCCGAGGCGTACGGCCCAATCCAACATAAAAATAAAAATGTGCACTGCCGAGGGTTGAACGGCACGAACCATAGATGTATCTATTAACCTACCGAGGTGAACAGCCCGCTTCCATGAGAGTGTGGTATATAAATCCTACCGAGGAGAACAGCCCGGTCCCATAAGAAGTGAAATACATAATCCTGCCAAGGCGAACTGCCCGATCCCATAAGAAATGAAATACATAATCCTGCCGAGGCGAATGGCCCGATCCCATTAGAATAATAAGCTTTGATGGATCCTTGACCCCACTCACGAATAAACGTGTGAATTGTAATTTATTTAATGAAAATCCTTTCGATGAAACATATATATATAATATATACCGGAGCCATGCCGTAAGAGGAGGAATATTATTTGTTGGTGAACCGTGAACCCTTGAAGCCTCTATAATAGGAAGTCTAGTCTCAAATAGAATGTAAAGCAAGGGAATTAATAAGCGAGAGACTACTCAAATAGTACAACTATAGCATGATATAAACCTAAGCCTACCCGGACAATAACATGAATGTAGCTACGTACGGGCTCTCGTCACCTCGCGCGTACGTAGCCCCCACAACAAGTAACACACATCCATATACAACACCTAGGGGTAATTTCCCCCTTACAGAGTTAGACAGGAGACTTACCTCGCTCCAAAATTCCATAACCGGCTCCAAAGCCTCTCTAACACCTCAAATTGGTGCTCGTCGCTCCAAACTAGTCAATTAAGATGCAACCCAATCAAAATGTACTCTAATATTCATAATTAATCAATTCATAATAATTTCCAACTCCGCTCGAAAAATCGATAAAGCAACCCTCGGCCCCACATGCCCGAATTCTAAAAAATTTCGAAGATAACTATTATCCATAACCTCACGAATTCAACTATATAATTTATCCCCAATTCCATGTCCAAATTCGTGGTCAAAATCTAAAAATACCAATTTCTAGATTTTCTATCAAAATCCCACAATTTCTACCAACTTTCATGTTAAAATCAACCCATAATCTATGTATTAAATTCACATTAAGTAGAAAGTACTTACTTCACAAAGCTAGGTCGAAATTCCCTCCTTGAAAGCTCTCATATCGCCCAAGAGTGAATGAAAATATGTTAAAAATGGCCTAAGTCCCGTATTAAAAGAACCCTCACTACCCAGCTACTTTCGCACATGTGGTGCTTTGGGCCGCATCTGCGATCACGCACCTGCGGCAAATGCCTCGCAGGTGCGCCTTTCCCTCACCTGGCAGGGCTCTGCATCTGCGGACAAGGAGGGCCGCTTCTGCGAGCCTAGCCGCACCTGCGAGCCCGCACCTGCGGCCCTTTTCACGCAGTTGAAATTGCACCATGTATCAGCTGCCTCAGCATTTTTCTTAGTCCAAAAATCGATCCGTTAAGCATCTAAAACTCACCTAAGGGCCCCCGGGATCCCGTCCAATAACATAACACGGACCTGCTCGAGGCCTCAAATCACATCAAACAACATCGAAATCCTGAATAACACCCCAATTCGAGCTTAATGAACTTTGAAACTTCAAACTTCTATAATCGATGCTGAAACCTATCAAATCACGTCCGATTGACCTCAAATTTCGCACACAAGTCACATTCGACATTACAGACCTATTCCAACTTCCGGAATCAGAATCCGACCCTAATATCAAAAGGTCCACTCAGGATCAAACTTCTTAAAATTATCCAAATTTCCAACTTTCGCCCAAATGACCTACGGACCTCCAAATCCACATCCGGGCATGCTCCTAAGACCGGAATCATCATACGGAGCTATTCCCATACTCGGAATCCCAAACGGACGTCGATATCATTGAAATGCACTTCAACTCAAATTTATAAAAATTTTCCAAAACGCCAACCTTCCACAATAGGCTCTGAAACGTTCCCGGGTCATCCAAAACCCGATCCGGACATACGCCTAAGTCTAAAATCATCATACGAACCTGTTGGAACCTTCAAATTCCGATTCCGAGGTCATCTACTCAAAATCACACTTTAGTCAATTTCTCCAACTTAATGCTTCCGAAATTAGAATTTTTCTTTCCAAATCAACTCCGAACTTCCCGAAATTAAAGTCCGACCACGCGTACGAGTCATAATACCTGAAGTGAAGTTGCTCAGGGTCTCAAACCGCTGAATGACGCGCTAGAGCTCAAAACGACCGGTCGGGTCATTACACAAACCCTTCCTCCCACCCTACCCCCTCCACCCTAAATAAAAATATTATTAAGAGTACTTTCTTTTCATGTTGTAGATAAAGTACTTTCTTTTTTCATTTCAACAAAATGAGTAATTTTTTTTTCATGATGCATAAAAATATTTTCTTTCATTTCAACAAAAAAGTACTTTCTTTTTATGATGTAGAAAAAGTATTTTCTTTTATTTTAACAAAATGATGTAGTAAAAAATATTTTTTTTTATTTCAACAAAATACGTTTTTTTTTTTCATGATGCAAAAAAAGTATTCTTTCATTTCAACAAAAAAGTACTTTCTTTTCGTGATGTAGAAAAAGTATTTTCTTTTATTTTAACAAAATAATGTAGTAAAAAGTATTTTTTTCATTTCAATAAAATGGATTTTTTTTCATGAAATCTCGTGTTTACAGGGCTCTAAAATCGAACCGTCAGTGGAGGAAGATTAGCCTATTGAAAGTGTGAAAATTTGAAAGACGACGTTGCTACAATGAGAAATTTCCACTGGATTTATTGTTCTAAAAGCGTAAGTCAGATTTTTGAGAAAATACCTTTGCTAAGATGATTCCCATTCAAGCATTCTCATTCAATGTCAATGCTGCCTTATTTATTTATTTTTTAATTCCTTATGCGCCCATTGTTTCCTCTACCTCTTTCCGGCAATTATCTGAGCGTGAAACGACCACCATCACCGAAAAAGCCACAGATCCTCCATCATTTCCGATCAAAAATCGACCCTGTCTAGCCCCACTTTCTCGTCTACTCCCCTTCACAGCCCCCAAAACCACACAAGATGAGGGAAACGACTATCGCTAATCATCGGAGAAATCTCAGAGCATAGGTGTCCAACGCTTTTGTCTTTTTTTCTTTTTTTTTTTCGGGTCAAAGAATTCTTTAATGTGGTACTTTGGTCGTGGGTTTTAAGCGGGTACGAGGCTTTTTAAGTTGTGGGTCGAGTGTTGTGCTTAAAGGGTGCCACGTGTTATGTCATCAATATACAACTTTGTTGGACGGAAGGGGCATATATTATGTTGTCACCTTTCTTAAATACAGACAACTCGAAAACAGCCTTGTCAAATATGCACTTGCATGACTATTCTAAAGTATTTTATAACTTTTTGATATCTTAGTTCAAATAGATTAGAAAAAGCAAGGGCAGATTTAAGCGCGAAAGCCTTCCACGGTAAATTACATTGAATATATAAGATAAAATTTAATTTATACCTTTATATTTTAATTTTAAGAAAAATGACATTGTATATCCGCTCTCAAAGTAATAGCCGAAAAATATATATATTTTGTATAGATATATATTTTGTATGTTATACACAAAAATTATACAAATTTTATATACTTTTTCGGCTATCGAATGTAAATAATTTCTGGGGAGGGCTAAAAGTAAAAAAAATCCAATATTTTATATTTTAAATCCTGACATAATCTAAAAACATAACTCAATAGTCAAGAAAATTTAACCAGCTCCACTGTATAGGAGTATTATTGAAGTAGTCATTAGAAAATGAAATAGATAGAATATTTTTCATTATTGTAAAATTGAAAATTTCATTGAATTCTGACGGAAGAAAAAACAGAAAAGATAAAAGGGGAGGAAAGACTCCTTCCAAAAGAATCCTACCACCCATTCATTAATTCATTTCAAGCTTTTACTAACTTTTATCCAATTCATGTCAAATGCATCACGACTTCTTAAAAACCTCAGTTTTCCATCACTCTACAGATCTCCACATTCCGCCATTTCCACAGCTCCTAATAATAAACCCATAACCTCCATGGAAGTAGAAGTCAAGCTCCGTTTACCAAACGCCGTTTCCCACCAACGCGTCTCCTCAATTCTTTCACCTTACCACCTCAAAACCCACGCCCAGGAAAACATCTTCTTCGACGGAGCCAACTCTGAACTCTCCTCCAAACTCGCCGTCCTCCGCCTCCGCTTCTACGATCTCGACGCCCAATGCATTGTCTCCCTCAAGGCTAAAGCCGTCATTTCAAACGGTATAAGTCGTATTGAAGAAGATGAAGAACCTATTGACCCTTCTATTGGCCGCGCGTGTGTTTCAGACCCCTGGCGGCTTTTATTGATTGATTCTTCGCGGGTGATTCAAAGGGTGAAAGATGAGTATGGAATTGGGGAAAAGCAGGGTTTGATTTGTTTGGATGGGTTTCGGAATGTGAGAGCGGTGTATGAGTGGAAAGGATTGAAATTGGAGCTTGACGAAACGCATTATGAATTTGGAATGAATTATGAGATTGAATGTGAGAGTTCGGACCCGGAAAGAGCCAAGGATTTGCTAGAGAAGCTTTTGAAGAGTCATGGTATTGAGTATTCCTACTCTACTGTTTCTAAATTTGCCATTTTTCGCTCTGGAAAATTGCCTCAGTAAGTCATACTAGTACAATGTTATGTTAGCTTCTTTAGAAACACTATATTGCGATTGTTGTACTTCAATTTATTGGAAGCAAAATTTAGACTTCTCAAAAGCTAATGGGTTCAGAGTTCAGTTCTGGAAAGATTATTCAGTCTTTTTTAATGGAGAACGTTGACCATGATTAGCACATGAATTAGGACTCTCGTAGTGAGATTATATTTAGATGGCTTTAAGAGATATTGTGCAAAAGCTGATAATATGCTATAATCTGGTAGTCTTAACAGATAGAGTCATCCGGTAGGAGATAGCAAGTCTGGTGCATCGGTTTGGACACTAAAAAGAAAATTCTTAAGCTTCAGTACTTTCTCCTTTTCATTTACTTGTTAGCTAGTATCCATTTTTAATGTAGATTCTGTAGTAATTAAGAATTCTGCAGCTCCTAACGCATACTAGGTGATGATACAAATTTTGTTGTACTGATTATATATGTGATCTTTACCAGTGAAACTAAGATTTCTAGTGCATCTCAAATGGTATAACCAGCCACAGGTGGACACGAGTTTCCTGCCCTATTAGGTCAGAAATGTGGAATGAAGATGAATATGTTCAAAACAACATGAATAGAAAGGATAGAAGTTATAGGCATTCAAAACCAGTCTTAAACTAAAGGAACTCCTTATGCAGCAACTTGGACCTTTTGTTGTAAGTTGTAACCCATTGTATGTCATTCTTATCGACAGAGCATAGTTCTTTTTCTGGGGTTACCCGAGAACTAAGTTGGAAATTAGGTCAATTTCCAAGAGCTAGAACTTTGCAATTGAATAGCATCGAAACAGATAAGAACCATTGACATTGACTTAATGGTAAAGATTTCACTAGAATCTTTTACCCTACCAAATTAATCTCGGAATCATATAAAATGTAGTATGATCTCACTTTTTCTTCTTATATGGTGGTTGATTCTCTTCTTCCTCGTCATCCTCATCATCATCCTCTTCATCGTCCTCATCGTCATTTTCATCATCTGAATCATCATCATGCCCTCCATTCCCATTTGCCCCAGCATCATCTCCATCTGAAGCATCTTCATCATCATCATCACTTCCTTCATCAGAATACTCATCATCATCGTCATCATCATCAGTGTTCTCATCATCTTCGTCTTCATCATCATCATCCTCAGTTTCACTTGAATCCTTGGTTTCATTATCTGGTGCCATAGCTCTTTTAAGCTCACCAAAAGGAAACCTATAATGTGATTGAGCATCAAATGAACACTTCTCAAACTCTCAAACAGACAGACAAAAAGAAACATAAATTGAGCAGGGAAGATCAGAATTTTTCAGTACCTCCTCTCCACTCCAAGAAGGTCCGAGTACAAACATAGAAACTCACTCTGAAAAATGGCATCTGATTTAGCACTTATTTATCTATGAAAGGAAGCAAAATAGTAATAACAAGAAACACCAGGACAAGATCATACACTATATATTGACAAGGGTGGAGCTAGAGTATCAGGTACGTATTCGGATGAACCCTGTAGTTTTGTTTAGACCCTATATTTGTGTTAAGAAATCTATTAATATGTATAAATATTTGATTGTGAATCCAATGACTAAGACAGGCTATGAATTCGGTGGCAAGTCGGAACCCATAAACTTTAAATTCTAGCTCTACTTGGTGTTACAAACTAGTCATGGAGCAGCAACTACCAAAAACATAAAGCAAGTTGACTCCAAACATTTATATCCCCAGAGATATCCAAAGCAGAACATCATTAGACAACAACATATAGTACCATTTTTCTAAAGAAAGTGTTGTAACATCATATTTGAAACAAAAGCAGGCAGTGTAATGTGGACAGATAACAGCTCCAACGACACAATCCAAGAAAAGAAATTCAAGATTCCATCACTGAAACTTGTATTAAGAGAAATAGTCTATGACTAAAGGGCTAACAATGTACCATGAAGAGAAGAGAAAGAAGAGATTTTTGAGCAGCTAAAGCAGTTTCAAGCACCACAGAGCAAATCATTCTGTGCAAAGCCACATTGGTGGTGATGGGAAGTCTCTGCACCTCCATTGAATAGCTGAAGTAGGAGTGGTTGCCAGTACAGAAGGGTTCCTCAATTGGGTCAGTGGTAGTTGAGGAGGTAGGGTTTTAGGTATTTAAGGCGTATATCTGGTTTTGTGTCCAAAACTAAACAACACAACACGTGACCAAATCTTGCCCGGCCCTGTCAACCGTCCAAGCCCCAAGGGATCCCAAAAAATAAATATATTCCACTTTTTGTCTTTTTATAATTGTACTTATTAAAAGAAAATTGTACTACTTGTTAGCTGGTTAAATGGTAAGTTCACATAACTAATGAGTATGTTTAGTTAGTTCGTACAAAAGTCAGCATAACTAATGATATGTTTTGGTTGCTTTTTCCATTGGTTGATATAAGTAATAAATGAATAAGTTATACAACAAATCTATGTATTATTTATGCAAGGTAGAATGTGGAATAAACATGTACTTAGTATACATGTATTAAATAATCAAATGATCAAAAAAAACTCATATTTATTTTAAATTACACGTTGTATAATTGAAATAAAATAAACATTTAACAAAAAATAATTTATATATTAATTCACGCATTACTAATCCTTACATAACTAACTCCTTCCTGAATATAGCTAAACTTTGCATAACTAATTCATGTATAACTAATCCCTACATAACTAATCTTTATATTACTAATACTTGTAGATCTCTAACCAGCAACCAAACAAGCCCTTAGTGGTAGGTTTTTTTGTTCCTAATTTTTTTTTAGATGTGCACAAAGTACTTTAACTTCACAAAATGGAACCTCCTCTTTAGTGACATTAATTTTGGATTGAAAAGTCACGTGTCTCGTACATCAGCGATTCTCAGCCTTTAAGGGCTGAATCTCGTTTTCATTAATAAAATTCATTTTTTAAAAAGAAATATAACAAATGATTGCATAACAATTGATTTCGAGATCCACCTCTAACCTCTAATCTACCCATAATTGCATGATCATTTTTACTTGTCTTCTTGAGAGCTCAAAAGTCGTTTTCATTCCTCTTTGTTCTACTTTAACTGTGTTCTCATGCTAGCCATTTGTTATATTGGAAATAACATCTTTATCTCTGCAAGTTATGTGTAAGGTCTGCGCATACACTACTCTTTTCAAATTATACTGAATATATTGTTTTTGTTGTTAGCCATTTTGATAATTCTTTACTTCAATTTCCCTCACTAATAAGTTCCTTTACTTTGGCTTATGAGTAAACCCTGGGCCATCGTGGAAATTAAGGTTGTCGTATGAATAAGAGGATTAAGAAATAAGATTTTCTTTTCGCCAAAAAAATTCAAATTGAAGGTTGCTTTTTTCACATGGGTAACAGTAACTTGAGTCCAGTTTTTGCGGGTCCGTGAGCTATTTTCTCAAATTCCAAGCTCAAATAACAAGGATGAGGGGCTTGCAGATGTTGTATACTTTAGGAACAAACCATTGCAAAATCATTACTTTGTGCACTCTGAAAAGCATAGTTGTTTGTTGGGATCTTTCAAGAAATCACATGATAAGAGTAATAGTAAGTTCTAATTAAGTTCGAAAGGGGTACGTTATTATGTGTGTCAACACATTGTCATTCCATTTGAGAAATAGGTCATCAACTGACCTTCTTGTTTACAAGCTTTTCTCTTACCCCCTCCCCCCCCCCCCC